CTGTCGGCGACCCGGCCAGTCTGCAGTGACAGCAGAGGAGGGTAAAGTTCAGCTCCTCACTGCTGGGCTTCAAAGAGGGGGGGGCAATTGTTTATTATCACTCACCCCTAATTCTTTGGTGACGTGAAGCTGAATTCAGCTATTTGCCAGCTTCTTGTTTGAATCTTCCCATTCCACCTTAAACGGTGCAGTAGTTGTCATGCCCGAGGCGCCAGAATGTAACTGCTGTTTAAGGTGGAACAGGAAAAATCAGCACTACTAGTGATTTTTAATGCTTGTTACGAAGAAAACGACCATAATACATTGAAACGACATTAAACTAAGATAATAAAATGGTTATCGGAATTTTTAACAGAGAAAATTCTCACTTTTGTGGGTTTCTTTGGTCTCTTGCTCAGCCATTTTGCCAGGTTCTCTTTTTTTTCACTCTCTTTCTGTTTAGAGTGTGTCTCTGAAAAACCTCCCTTTGGAGGGCCATGTAGCCCCAACACTTCGCCCTCCCCCTCTATCTCAACAAAAATCGGGACACCCAACCCCTAGAGGTGAACACGTAAAACAGAGGGGCAGGGCTCAGTGGTGGGGGGGAGTGGTGAAATGGGACTGGGCCTTACTGCTCTACTATTATTTATATTTATTCTAATATTAGTGGTCAGGTGCCTAAAATGTTGCACAGTACTACATATGGTACACATAACATATAAGTATTGCACTTTTGCATGACCCCATGACCACAGTGTATAAAATAAGGCTTAATTATAGCTCAGGTTTTATTATTTTTTTGCCTAATGACAAAGTTGGTGAACTGCCTGTAGATGAGTTGACCAATCAGAAGCAACCAAACACTCATATGATGTGTACACGACGACGCAACCACAAATACACTACGTTCAGCGTTCAAGCCTGGAGCTAGAAAAAGTGGATATCGTTGCTGTCCAAAGAAAAATGAGCACCTTCAAAATGGTCACCTTACAGGAGACGGCAAGGACGTTCCTTACTTTTAACGTAGGTTAATGTAAAGAGATTTTAGTCCAAGCTATTTTGAAACATTTCTATTGGTCCATCATGAAATTTTCACAGCTGCAGAGCTCAAATTATGCAGCAAACTAAATATTGCAAAAAAATGAGATACTTGGGTTTTTTGGACACGGACAATATGCTGGTCAACGATACAATTATATTATATTATATTATATTATATCATATTATATTATATTAATAATAGTTTAAATCACAGTCACATTACTGGTCTGAACAAATCACTACTAGACATTCCCCTCAAACTGTTCAGCCCTACAATAAAAGCAAGTGGCTGTCTGTGTGTGGGTGGGCGTGCGGGTGGGCGTGCATGTCGGGAACGCCAAGTAGCTGGAATGCAGGTTCTATTTGGTACCACGTAGCTCTGCCTCACTCTCTGCTTACTCACGCTTGTGTTTGGAGCTGGACTGAGCATGAGAACGCTCCTCATTGTACCGCGCTCACAATGGAGACCGCCAGAGCTGAATGGCATTCTGAGCTATGAGAAACGTCCCTCATTAGCACGACAATACAAACCCCGCTGACCACTCAGACCTCAAGCTTGTGCAGTCACGAGAAAACACGGTTTACGTAACTCAAGACCGGGGGAACGAGGGTCCGGCGTGAGCAGCATTCCATCATTCTGTCTCACTCTGCGGAGGGTGGACGCTACACTGTGTTTATTTATCATTGTTAAATTTGTCACTGAAGTCGACACATGATCTAATTAGCATATTTTTAAGGCCACTCATTATCAGTCCCATTTAGTCTGAATGTTGTATATGACTTATATAAGTTAATACAATTAAATCACTGAGTCATCTGAACTTTTCACAGCCTAAACCACTACAGTCTCAATCTGGATGGAATTCCTCAAGTTTACAAAGTGTTGACAAAAACAGTTCAGTGAAAAACATCATTTACATTATTTCCCATATGTTAATAAAAAGTATTGGAACCCTTTAAACCACCAATTAGCTTGGGGCTAACTGCATCTCAAATAGACTTGCTTGGGTTTTCTGACAAACTGTCATCTATAACAACAAACAAAAGTATGTCACATAGCTATAAACAGTAGTTCCACTCATAATGAAGTCTCAGCTTTGTCTATGTTTATAGACAACATGCATAGAACCATTTCTTTAACTTGTAAATGAGTAAGTAATGTAAATGCAAACACAACCTTGAATTTATAACATTAGAGCGAGAAAAGCCTCAGACCACTAGTGAAAATACATCTATTTTGCATTCTTTTCTAACTTAGTACAACATGTTACATTACAAATTATATTATCAGCACAATTTGAGTGAAACATCAAATATTTGAATTATTTATATCACCAACAGTGACAAAAATCTCTGATGAGTAGATCAAATCCACCTCAGAGGCCTCGGAATACAAGTTTCAATGGAAGGAATAAGATTAAAATCAAATAAAAATCTGACCTTTTTGTACGAAGGCCTCAGCATGGTCAGTGATATAAATTTGCTTAAATTTGAATAGTGACCTAGAAATTCTGACCTAGAAATCAAGCTTCTTTTAAATGCTGAACGAAAGTGGGTGTGACTTACAGTGGGGCCCAAATGTCTGAGACCACACTGATCTGGGATTGCTTTCATTTAATCCTAAATAAACCACAAAACATTTTAAATTTCAGTTTAAATTCTAAGATGTTTTGTTGTTTATTTCGAGGATTAAATGAAAGCAATCCCAGATCAATGTGGTCTCAGACATTTGGGCCCCACTGTAAGTCACACCCACTTTCGTTTAGCATTTAAAAGAAGCTTAATTAAGGAAGTTTCGTTCAGTAAATCGGTACTGAAAGCAAAGTATCGCTTTTGGTATCAATAACATTGAAGGACTCTCAGCCCAAATCCTGAAACTAAATACTGCAGCTCCACTCAGCACTAATATGCAGAGTGACGGTGGAGCTGAGGTGTGAGACAATGGTGCGTATCGGTCAGTGAGACCGTTAACGTTTGGAGGAGCAGCAGAGTCTCTCCACAGGAAACACAGTGAACCCACCAGCCTTTCCTACAGGAAGTCACCTCCAGACCTGACAGGCTCTCCCTCGTCTTTCTCCCTCACTCAAACACATCCTCTCTCTCTGGTGAACGCTGAGTAAGGCCCACATCTGGCCCACTGGAGGGAAAATGTGACAGTGGCAGTAACACATAATAGCTGCACACAAGGGCCGCAGTGAGGACTGCGTAGAAAAACCGCGGCTCCAAATCCTAAAGGTTCAATCACATGACCATGTTTACCCTGTATTTTGTCTGACCGCAGGATGAGCGAGAGAATCAGAGGAGCTGAATGTAAAAGGATTTCACCATGTACTCTGCTCCGCATGCACTTTAGGAGTCCAAAACTCTTTAACCCCTCAACGGATCCCGGAGGAGCCGGCTTGTCTCTGCTCAGATATCTAGAACTAACGACTGACCAGCAGTGAAAGAAGAGCAGGTATAACAGCGAGAAACAATCCTGCAGCACAAATAAAACAGTTTGCAACAAATGTTCAGAGAAGAAAATGCACTAAAATGGTCAATAGCATTAATCTAATCAGTCATTTGCAAGTTCATCATTCACTGGCCATTCAAAGTGTGCCAAAATGTAATAAAAGCACTTGTAGTAGACCTTGAAATATTACATGAACACTTGAAATATCCATTATTTAGGAGGCAGGCCTTTTAAACCTACCTACTTACTTGATCTAGACACCTGGCATCTTTTCTTTGCTGCAAGTTCATTCATTCTTGGGATCAATTTCTGAGCTGCTAAGTGTTTATACTGGTTGAGCTGCAGCTGAAACGCAGCTAGTGTGTTTGATGATAGGACTGGTGAGGTAGAATTGAGGTGTAACCGCTGTCCCATAGATTGTTGTTGGGACAGGAGAGTTGGAGCACATTACGGTGCAGCGCATTGTGAAACAGGCTAATATAAACAGAACAGAATTAATATTCTTCTGTTAATAACATTAACGGAAATTAAAGTCCTTTGAATTTTGAGAGAGAGCAGAGAAGGGAGGAGTGTCATTGGTGTTTCTCTTTAACTCTAATGCTAGCTTTCTGATAGTCTAAGCCCCTAACACACGGCCCACAGGCCACATCAGGCCCCTGACACGATCCTATCTGGCCCATAGGCCTTGTGTTTGACGTGCAGGCTTAGGCTATAAGAAAGGCAGCATTAGAGTCTTAAAGAGAAACACCAATGACACTCCTCCCTTCTCTGCTCTCTCTCAAAATTCTGGGTTAGCAGCCGCTTGTCATGATGTAATCATGGCCAGGCTAACCACAGAAAGACACTGAACAACCGCAGTGTTAGACAGGCTAGAATTAGCTTTAGCCAAGTTACCAAAAGCATGGTAAACAGCAGCTAACGAGCTAGGTGGCTAGCTATGCTATCTACAAATCACTTGCTCAAAAAATAAATAAACAAATAAATAAAATTTGATACATACATACACACACACACACACACACACATATATGTATATATATATATATATATATATATATATATATATATATATATATATATATATATATATACACACACACAGAGTCTGTTTATCTTAAATACTCTATATTGACTGCCTTTCTCAGTCTAAATTAAAGTCACTTGCCTACCATTGATTTCCGTGAGCTGGTTCTTTAATTTAATTTAATGCAATAATTGAAAAATGCTGAGTTATAAAATTGAGCGGAGGGAGCTGCGAAATGCAAAATTAATGCACCTTCATTACAAACATTGATTTCAAACTTCTGGATGCTGTGCATCACGCCATGGTCAGCGTGGCCCAAAGTCTTACGCTCTCTGTAAAATATAGAATCCTATGTAGTTTTTTTTATTTAAAAACAAAAGTTAAATTTTTAGTCGGTGTCTGTTTCGGCCACAAAAAGTTATCAGTTATCGTTACTGGCCCAGAAATTCTGCATTGATAAATTCTTACCAAGTACAGCAAGAGAGAGACGGGGAGAGCACGTACCTTGTCTTTGGATGAAGATTCGCAGCAGCGGGTGTGCAGTGGACACGGCCTTGCTGAAGTTTTCGTCGTTGTTGATGGGCAGCAGGTCTCCGTGGACGTCCGCATATCCGATCATCACCTCCATGTTAGCGATGCGGTGGATGTGCATGATCAGCTTGAAGAATTCCTCAAACTTACCCGGTTTGGCGCGGTTCACGGAGAACCTGCGGAACTCTGCCCCATACTGCAGAACAAAGAAAAGAAATGGAGCGAAAATTTAGAGCCGACAAGAAAATCGACAATTTAAGGCATCTGGTTGATTTAGCAGGTTATCCACAAGCAGTACGTGTTAAACAGCGCACAACAAAGGAAGCGGAGTTCCCAAAGCCTACGTTACCAAATATACAGCACTGTGCAAAAGTCAGAGACCTTTCATTTATTTAATTTCCAGTCCAAACGGCTAGTAAGTAGAAGTTAATCATTTTCAGGAGACGTTCCTGAAGAGACTTGATATAAACCACAGATGTTTCCAAAACTGGAGTTCACAAAATGATTAAAAGCTACAGAGAAAATGTGACTCCTAACAACCACCTGGAAGACCTGGTAGACCCCAAACCTGCCCCCATCAGATAAACAGCACTTAAAGCTTTCATCTTTGAGAGAGAGGAGAAAATCAAGCTGCTTCAGATCTGAAAACATCCACAGGTGTTTCTGTCCATCCTTCCACTGTGAGAAGACGACTCAGCGCTACAAAGAAGAAGGTGCTGGTGTTCTCAGCAGAATGGACTGACCATCCCCGAGTCCAGACCTCAACATCACTGAATGCGTTTGGGGTTATTTGAATTGTGAGAAGCAGAAAAAGCAAAACCAACTTCTAAGACTGAACTTTGGAGGTGTATCTGCAGATTTCTTTGAGGAACTGAAAGTGAGTCTCCTGAAAAAATATGGAAGCTGTAATAAAGGTAAAGAGTGGACACTGAGCTCGATCCCCGGTGATGCTACAGCCGTCCGTGGCCGGGTGTCCAAGTCAGCACAACTGGCCTCGCTCACTCTCCCCTCTCCCCCCATCACTCAGTGCAATGCTAGTCAGTGCAAGCATCTGTTAGCTGACATAACAGGCGGTTGGCGCTTTCCTCCAAGCGATCCAAAGATGTTGCGTTAGCGGCAGGTCGAAAAGATGCGGTGGTGCTTCACAGGTCTCAGAGGAAGCCTGTGCTGGCCTTCGCCCTCCTAGCGCCGGTGGTATCATGTGACTGGGGGAGTCCTAACTAGTAGGTGGAATTGGACACGACTAAATCGGGGAGAAAACTGGGGGAAAATCCAAAAAGAAAAAAATACATATATTTAGCTGTTGAGTTTGCTGAGTTCTTCTTCACTCTGTTAATTAAGAAAAGTAACGAATGTAATAAACCTGTTCTCAGTAACATCGAGACAAATGAAACTATCTAAACTATCTAAGGCACAAAGTTCTACAATCCTGTGTTTTTTACTACTACTATAATTTCTTACTCTATTTTGGTGATTAAATGACTTTTAGACTAAAGCCAGCTTTCTAGCAGACCAAAACAACCTTAGTCAGGGACAGTCTAATCTGTTTTTATTAGTACACAAGTGGGTGGGACCTGCAGATTTGTACCAAATTTAGCTCTAAATAAGTTCACAGAACATCATCTCTTCCTGTACAATGAAGCCATTCAAGCTTTTCCGAACATATGGAGTGAGTTATTACCGCAAAGTGGAGACAGAGAAAAAGGTCTAGTTCCATTTAATGGAAGTGGGAAGTATTGTTTAAAATCTTTATGGGTGGAAAAGTCAGGGTGAGTTCAGATTGATGCCTTTCACTCTATTCCCAACAACAGCTGGAAACTAGACACAATATCTCCGCGGTACGTGGCAAACCCAACTCCAGGACTTTAGCAGCCTGGCCATGAGACGTCTTAACCAAAACAAATGTTTTTATTTTCTTTCTGGTCTACGGTTCATCTATTTTCTCTTTAAACACCGCAGGCCCAGGACTATCTGCTCTCACACACAGCAGAAAGCCTGCTTTTCAGGGTTTTCATAAACTTGATGGCTCTGCTGTTTGAAATAAGGAAACAGAGGAAAAGGAGGCTGGGACACAATGGAACAATGCAGCTGGATCTGCAGACGCAGCAAAAAAGTTCGAGAAATGACAACAACCGCAGAGCAGCGGGACATCATGCCCTGAGCTTTCTGTCCTCTGAAGAGCAGATGCTCGGTACAGGTGGACAGGTCAGAAAGCCAGAGGCCTGTTTCACAAAGCAAGTTCAACTTAGACAGAGTTAATGACTCTGGGCCTCGTTTCACCAACCGTCCTTAAGAAGAAAATTCTTCTTAAAACTCACGTACGCAGTTTTCACGAAGATTCTGACATCACCAATGTTTTCTTACTTAAGATAAGAACAGAATCTACATACTCAAGAGCACACAGGAGTGAACAGTCCTGCGCTTTAAGAACACGGCATGAATCTGACGTAGACTTTTCTTAGAACCATCTCAAGAACACATTTAAGAAAAAACTTAGGAAGATTTTGGTGAATGAGGACCAATATTTCAGCATCGCAAAAGAAATGAAACCGAGGTTTACACATTTCACCATGCCGGTTAACAACCTGGGGCCGGATTCACGAAGAAAAGAAAATCTTCTTAAATGTGTTTTTTCTTCACTTCATTCTGAAGAAAAAAAGTTACGAAAAAATGTTATTCTTCAAAAAATTTCTTAAGAATTGTCTTATTTCCTTTCCTTAACAATATTCTTAGGAATAGTTCTAAGAACAAGTCGGATTCTTGAAAATATTATGTTCTTAAATGTGTTTTTAACCTTATGACAGCCTCACACTCGTCTTAGGCTGTAAGTGTTGAGAAGGTGAGCATCTAAACGTATCGCTTTATCTACTCCTGCCTGTCCTCGTCGCTTGCTTTCCGCCGTCGACCCACAATTATTGTATTTTCCAAGGAGGATTTTCTCCTGTTGGCTGTTTTTTCCACCATCACCTCCAGATTTTGTTTGCTATTTTTTTTAAACACTTGGTTTGATGTTTTTCCCCCATTTTGCTCCTCTGAGTGGATTAAACTAAATAACCTAAATAACAGTTCATACAAATTCAAATCGTATCTCACGTCATTTATGGTATGTGGTCAAATGCAACGTTGCCTACATAAGAAAACAATGAAGATTTCCTTAAGAAAATAATTAAGACTATCTTAAGAGAATATTTGAGAAATTTGAGAAAGCTTTTTGGAGAACTGCATTTAAGCACATTCCTAGGAACCTTTGCAGGTCCTTCTTAAGAAAGTTTTCATGACTCCGGCCTCTGCCTCGTGAGACCCTGCGTGAGGAAAACCTGCTTTGTCACTGTAAACTTAGTCGACTTATTGCCTCGAAAAAACTAAATAAACTCACTTAACAGGTTCAAGCTTAAATAAATGTACATGTGCGTTACAGATACTTTCTAGTTTTCACTGATCCACACTTCTGCAGGTTAACTCAGCCCAATAAAATATAAATGGTTTCCACTGAGCTGGCAGTGCTCCTCTTTCATGTTTTGCTTACCGTCAAATTACACAAATTAACTTGAATCAAATATTCTTTCTGGTGTAAACAGACTGTTTTGTACAGTAATGAATAAATGGCTTAGATAAGACTAGAATCACCCATTTCTGAGAACCCCAATAGCTTAATGCATGTTAGCTGTTCTGTTAGCCTTTATAGCTCCAGACTGAACTCATAAACCTGAACACAAAGCATAAACAGTGAGAATCACAACATGTAAAATGCATCCAAACTTCATATGTAACAGATTAATATGCATTGACATAAAACAGTTTGCAAAGAGAATTATATTTATAAATAATTAACAGAAACTAACAAAACCGCTAAGAGTGCTAGGAAGCTTTTTGGGCAAAAACTCTCCAGTCTGTAGGACTGATCCAAATGAATCGACCGTAACTAGCTTTAGTTAACCTCAGCAACCTTAAACCTTTCGCCTCAGTAACGAGTATTTGAGTATTATACGAGAAATAGTTTATGTTACTAGATTTAGTGCAATTATTATGTTTTACAGTGTTCGTAAGACCCCTGGTCTACAAAAACACACGCAGTTTAGCTAAAAATCAAATATAATTGATCAGTCATGTTTGCTACGAGGCTAATGTATCTAAAAAAACAGGGATGCACTGATCATTAATTTTTATGTCAGATTCTGATTTCTTTACAGCTAAATTGGCCAATAAATGATTTTTTGGCCAATTTTTAATGTTTACTGTATGGAACAAATGAATAACACATTTATATTACTGTCTATTAGTGAAGTTGCAACATAACATTCATTTTAACTGGAATTTTAAATTTGTAAATGAAAAAAATGATCAAATAACATAAATCAAATACACTGAAATCCAGAGGCGACTGGCTATTTAGCACAATGAACCATACATAATTATGCTGCAACCTTTGGGTGCAGGTGTAGCAGCAGCATTCAAATACAGCACGAGTGCATTCACCCGCCTCCTGTTATTTACCTCATTGAAATGCGACAGAGATTCGGGGGGGACATTCCACAAAGCATGACTTTTCACTTTAGCCAGGTAACTTAAGCCCAAAGTCAAATCTGCCCAATAAGAAAAGAGCTGAGGGACATTCCTATTGGACGATCCTCATTTTTGGGCTTAAGTAATCTGGCTAACTGAGAAATCCCACTTTGTAAAATACCCTCCCCCCAAGATCGTGCATCCCTAGATAACAAGTAATGGTAGCTTATGTGCCCAGTTAGCATTGTGCATCATCACTTGAGTCGTATGACTTGGACTCGAGTCACAAATTTGATGACTTGAGACTTGACTCAAGAAAATGGGGAAAGACTTGTGACTTGACTTTGACTTCAACACCAATGACTTGGACTTAGACTCGGAATTCAACGTTAAGACTCTGAAAGACTCGAGAAAGTAATACTGTTACCTTTTTTTCAGTGTTATGGCTTTAAATTAGCTGAAAAATGCAGACCGACTTGTTTAGGACTTGAAGAATAGGACTATTGACTTGGGACTTGACTTGAGACTTGTCTGTACCGACTCAGGACTTGAATCGAGACTCGACTACCATGACTTGGGACTTAAGTGTCAAGACTTGAGACTTACTTGTTACTTGCAACTCAGTGACCTGTTCCCACCTCTGCTGTTATCTATAAAAATGGGTAAAACATGTCCTACAGTCTCAGAAACCAC